GGACATTTGCTTCAACTTGCTTATCAATAGATGGGGATGCAGCATATTAAATGCAGAGCTGAAGTCCACAAACAGCATCCGAGCATAGGCATTGGGGTCCTCTAGGTGTTTAAGAACCAGATGCATAATGCTGTTGATTGCATCATCGGTGCCCCACCGCTGTTTATATGCAAACTGATATGGATCCAGTACAATGCTCACTTCTGAGCACAGCATCGATACCATAATCCTCTCAAAGCATTTCATAACAACAGACGTCAGTGCTACGGGCCTGTAGTCATTATTATTTGGGGGACAGGGCTTTTTGGGTACTGGCACGATTATTGCTTTTTTCCACAGTGCTGGAACAGAGTGAGAGTCAGCAGACTTCTGAAAGACAGGGCACCATGCTGGTGATAATTCCTCGGCACAATTTTTTACAAGAGAGGCAGAGATGCTATCGGGGCCTGTTGCCTTTTTCGCACATATGTGCTTGAAACATTGTGTGGTCATCTGTGGAATTATTACAAGCCTACCAGCACTACTGTCAGCTGTTATAGTATCTAATATACTATCACCTGCAACAGAGAAGTCCTGTGTCTCAAACCTCAGATAAGTCAGTCAGATCATTTGCTTTAGCCAGCTCATCCATTGTATGGAAGCTCTTCTTTGAAGAATTCATGTTTTTATTGTTTGCCACAGCCTTCTGGAGTTCATTGTTTCAAAGTCACTCTCCATTGTCTCCTTGTGTTGATACCTTGCATTCCTGAGTTTTAGTTTAAGCTCTTATTGCAGTAATTTCAGTTGCACTTGATCCTGGTTTTTAAAAGTGAGTCTTTTACGGTTGATGCAGTCTATCACATCCTTAGTTATATATGGTTTATTATTTGGGTACACTGTTCTGCTTTTCAAGAGGCAGCAAGAGGCACATCAGAGGGGTGACCCTACATTAACAGCATCCCCCGAGATGTAGCGCAGACAGAATCTGATATGAATATCTGCCTGTACACTGCAGGGAATACAGTCCCAAAGTAGCTCACATCCAGTCCACACAGTGCCAGTAGCCCAGGTCCATGTCCAGCAGGTGGTGTAGCTGGGTGACACTGGCTCAGACTGTCTGCTGGTGAAGAATTAGAAGTGATCCAGTTCTGTCTCCATTCAAGTATGTGGCTGATGGGTTGTTTAAGAGGGAACATACAGTGGAGCAGTGGTTAACATGGCTGTATCGCAGTACTGGAGTCCTGGGTTCAGTTTAAGACCTGGGGAGCTGTCTGTGTGGAGTTTGTATGTTCTCTCCATTTCACACTGGTTTTCTCTGTCGACCCTCTGGTGGACTGACAACTAGTCCAGGCTCTTGCGTTGAGCCCATTTTTTGCTAGGATAGGCTCTGGCTCACTCATGACCCTGAATTAGAAACCATGACAGACTGGGCGTCTCCTCCTCTCTCCAAACGCACAGACAGCACCACTCCTCCAGCAGACTGAGGAGGAAATGAGGCAGTGGGGACTGGTCAACCCCACAGGCGTCCAGTAGAAAGAGGACTAGGGCGAGTTTGAGGTCTCCTGCTCGACTCAGCAGGACACAAGGCTGGGCCATGAGCAGATGATGACAACAGTTGAAAGTCCTCAAGTGATTTTCACAGTGCCCTGACGTCTTGCTCTCCCCCAGCCATAACCATGATGTCATCAGTGTACTCTGAGTCCCGGATAGTAGGATCAGGGCAGCCCGGGATTGACAGACTCTTGCTGACCAAGTCAAGCTGATATAGAATAGGCTCAATGGCAAAGAAGTGGAGTATCTCCAAAAGTGGAGTATATAAGAGTATTTTCAGAACCAATCACCAGCAGTGATCACTGGATTTAAAAGGTACTGTAAGGCCATTAGCTTAACTAATTTCCGTGTTGTTGTTTTTTTTCTTTTTTCCTGGATATTTATGTCTGTTTAGAGGACACAGTAAGACATATAAGAAATCTAAGGATTCTACTGTATATTGTATACTTCTACTATATAATTACTTTTTTTAATTCCAGAGATATTATCAAATGTTTGAGAGGACACCATTCCAGGTAGAAACTGACTATTTGGCTGGAGGTCTTATTAGACTAGACTAAACTGTATCTTTAAACACAAAAACTGAAATGAAAAAGAATTCTGAGTCCAGAAAAAGCATTTGATAGAGTAAACAGCCTTTTGTATTTGAAACTTGTAGGGAATTGGGTTTTCATAATGGTTTTATTGTTTGGCTACATGCAATGTAAAACCAACCAAATGCACAGAAACAGGCCTACAGCAACTTTTCCGAACAGGAATTAAACAAAGAAAATTCTGAAGCAATGTTATTGGAGAATCTACTGTATATCCCTGGAGATAAAAAATAAATTTAATTTATGATAAGATTGGGATAAGATAAAATGTAGGGCAAATGTAATACCCAGAAACATAGAAATCATTAAAATGTAACTAAGAGGTGCTAAAAAATCAGGTTAAACAAAACTTGAATAGATGGAAATTGATGCCTCTCTCATTCTTGGGAAGGATGAACATAGCAAGAATGAAGGTACTTCCAGGATTTCTGTTTTGTTCCAGACCTTCCTTATTCCCCTCAATGACGATTACTAAAACGTTTGTCTATTTTATGTGGTTTAAAGTCAGGGTCCCATGCTATTTCTCTCAACCCAAACAACTATTCCTCTATTTAGTTTCTTTTGTAATACAAATTATTTTCTTTGGCATTTATTTATTTTCATAATGCTTTACATTATATTAGGTGTAAAACAATGTTTTAAGTGTGATGAACAGCTCGTCACCATTTTGCTGGGGAGCTGTCACTCAGGTAGTTGAAGCTTTAAGGTTAGCTGCACATTAGTAAGACTGTAGATCTGGGAGTGTCTGAGTGGTGTAGGTTTTACCTGGATTTTCTTCCCTCCCAGATAAATCTAGATTAAAGTTAGCCCTGAAAATTGACTTTATCTGACATTACAGGGATAAGTTTATACTGTCAGCTAATTGACAAAGAAGGCAGTGTAGCATTAGAAAAACATCAACATCACTCAATAAACAATTATCCAATTCAGGGTCACAGTTACCCACAGCCTGTGCCAGGAAGCACTGGACACAAGGCAGGATTGAACCCTGTACAGGATGCCAGTCTATTAAAGGGTACACACCTACACCAGTCCCAGCTTTCCCAGAAGTGTATTAACCTGCCGGCACGTTTGTGGACTGTGGGAGAAAACTGGAAAACCATACAAACTCCACACAGATACTGTAGCACCCCAGGTCTGGAATTGAACTCAGGGCCCCAGTGTGATATCTCCTGCACTGAGCTGATGGAAGCAGTAACCTGGAGACTGAATCCAGGCGCAGGCTCTGCTGGAAGCAAGCAGGGAAGGCAGGAGAAAGTGAAACTAGAGACATGATCGACAAGGCAGGGGTTGAGCTGGGAGGAACTGATTAAAGCACCAGGGAGAGTCTGAAGGAGAGTCGTTTAACATTGAGGGTTCAAAGCACAGGGATCAGTTCAAGATGTGGTCAAATAGGCAAAGCCAAAGTACACAGAGAGGAGAAAATGCTGGGGAAAGCTAAGAAGAAAATGAGACTCTAAGATAAGAGATTAACAAATTGATACATTTTGCATTCCGAACTTTCTTCCAAAGCTACATCCTTTCAGATGTGCAGTATGTATAATATCAGAAAATAGAGGATGGTGAAGTGGAAATCTAATAAGTAAATTGATTCTTAAAATGTAGAGAGCTTTGCAAAAAATATATTGGTGCTTTTGGATAATATATTTCAAGGATGTAATTGCTGTGCTACAGTACGTGCAGAATTTTAGAAAACAGTGCGTCAACAAAGTACACTGTTTAGGTTACTTTAGAAGTCAATGTACCAAAACAATATATGCTGTCTGGGTCGTTAGAATTAGCTGAAAGTAACTGATTAGCTTTGAATAACAAATCTAGTGCTTCTTCTCTCACTCTATGATGTAATCTGTTTTGTCTTAGGGAAAGGGGAAGTTTTTGAAGGGACAAAGCACTGAGCTTTTTTACAGCGCAACGTCTTATAAAAACCCTGTACTGCTTGTAACAAATTGAGTCTCTGGTTGCACTGTGCGAAGTGGCAGCAGGGCTCCCAATATTGCAATATTGAAATAAAGACCTTACTCAGGTGAGAACTCTCTCTTGTGGCTTCCTTGATAGTTATATTTCCATGACAATGGATACTCAAGAGTTAAAAGTAAGATGCAAATAAGAAAAGGAAGTTGGCACCTCCACAGTGGATGCATGTGAAAAAGGCAATATTCTGTGTCTCAGCATACCTAAATAAAACAATAAAAAACAAAGAAATCACCCGAGTTCACTTACTTCAGTGTTGTTAATTTACAGTTAGGGTCCCTCAGAGCTGCAGACAACAGTTTCACTCCTGAATCCCCCAGGATATTGAAACTCAGATCCAGCTCTCTCAAACTGGAGTGTTGAAACTGAACAACAGAGGCCAGATCTTCACAACATCTCTCTGTTAGTTCACACCATGACATCCTACAGACAAAAAGACAGGAGCACAGCTGAACATCTGCACAGCTCATCCACATCTTTCTGTCCAAGTCTTCACTACAGCACCCAGCTCAGCAGTAATATACTACATCATGTTATTATCCATCTCAGAGTGTCCATGGATGAGGATGATGAAGACAACAGCTGCTCCAAATTTGGGTATGCAGGAGGAAAAAGAAAGATGAGAAGAAATTGTCAGAAGGGTAGACATTGGAAAACAGGGAGACACACAGAGATACAGTGAAAAGGGAAAAAAAGATTTTTTTATAGAAATGTTAAGGCAACATACCCTTTTGAACAAAATAAACCAATGGAACAAAACAAAAAACAACCAAAATTATAACTATAAGAAGACAATAAAAATGTGAACAGCATACAAGCCCAAACCATATATACTGAAGACCCCCCCCCCCCAAAAAAAAACAACCAAAAATATCATGAAAATACATGAATGCCATTTATCCCCATAATATACAAAACTGCAGTTTTCACAAATGCAAGACTCTCTACTCACATGTAACAGTGTCAAAACCAGACCTTTTCCAACATAAGTATTTTCACAGTTTTACTAGAGGAACTGTAGTTAGATTCTGCTCTTCATCAGCCCCTCAGACACTCACCTCCTCTACAGATCCTCCACCTGAGATTGTGTTCATGCTGGTCTTAAGCCCAGCAGCCCAGCAGAAAGTGCACTGAGCAGAATTCTCTTCTTGTTGACATAACTCACCCTGAACACAACAGCAGGGCTACTGAAGGCCAGACTACGGTCAGTGAAGAGGGGGATCAAGAGGATTAACAAGGATGTCAGACAGGAGCAGGTGCTATAGCAATGAAAGACCAGCTCCCTCTCGGAACAGTTAGAACAGAGATCAGACACAGATGGATCCAAAACAGACACAAACTAATTGGCACCCGGGATAGTGCACAGGATTCTCCACTAGCAGATCACCAGCTCTGACAATAATAAAATTTAAGCTTCATGGTCCCATTGGAGACATTACTTTTACAGCACACTCCCAACATAACAGCACGATGACAGGCAAAAGTTTGCCAATAAAGAAGTCAGTGAAACAGTGTTACAGTACGATAAGGGAGGAGATACGATACATTGTTTGAAAGAGATACTGCAGTAGATATGAAAGATTTCCTGTTTCTATTAGTATTACACTTGGGGACAAAGAGGCGTCTCCCAGATGGGAGAATTGTTAACTCACAATGCAGAGGGTGAGAGACACCCCCTCCTTTCTCTGTATGCAAACTACAGGGGGTCAATGAGGTCTTGTTACTTTTTTGTAATGTAATGCTTTAAGATTCTCTCCAGTTTTTCATGGGAGAGATGTAAGAGCAGCTGGCCTGTAGCTGTTAAGCTCAGTTGGCCTGGCAGTTTTTGTAAGAATAATGATTGAGTTCTTTAACAGAAAAAGGATGATTTGTAGATTGGAGGGCATTTGAAAAAATGCAGCTGAGATGCAGAAATGCAGCTGAAATGGAAATCTATGAGAGGTAGGATGCAGATCATCAGCTGTTTTACTGAGGGAGATCTGTACAGGCTTCCCCAGAAAGGATGTGTATCCTACTGAACCCCCATACAAATTCTCTGGGGAGTGTGAGGGAGTGCAGACAGATGAGATCTGTGCACAGCCTGTACAGAGCTTTCTCCTCAGCTGTGACCAGAGACCATTCCTCTAAGATATGAGACTCTATGACAGTGAGAGCAGGGATATGAGCAGGCTAGGCTAGAGAGAAGGTACTATAGACCTGAGAGGCAGTGCAGATAAAATCTGACATGGATATCTGCAGGTGGTGTAGCTAGATGACTCTGGCTCAGAGCAGCCTGTTGGTGAAGAATCAAAAATGGCCCAGTTCTGTCTTCCATTTGAGGAGTATGGATATTGTTGGTTCAGGCAGATAACACAGTGGCTCAGTGGTGAACATTGCTGAATCGCAGTGCTGGGACCCTGGTCATCCTCTCCAGGGCCCTGTATTGTGCCCATTGCTTGTCAGGTCTGGCTCCAGGTCTCTCATGAGAGTGAATTAGAAACAGTAGAGTCCAGGACCAACAGGGCAGCTCCTCATCTCCACACACAGACAGCCCCACTCCTCTAGCAGACTGAGGAGGCAGTGGGGACAGGTCAACCCCACAGGTGTCCAGTAGAAAGAGGACCAGGGTGAGTTTAAGGTCTCCAGCTTGATTCAGCAGGACACAAGGCTGGGCCATGAGCAGTTGATGACAACTGTTGAAAGTCTTATAGGGTTTTTCACAGAGCCCTGAAATCCTGCTCTCCCCCAGCCATGCCCATGATGTCATCAGTGTACTCTGAGTACCGGATAGTAGGATCAGGGCAGCCCGGGATGGACAGTCCCCTGCTGATCCAGTGCAGCTGATATAGATGAGGCTCAATGGCAAAGGAGTGGAGTATCTCAAAAAGTGACAGAGTACATGAGGGTATTTTCACAACCAATCTTTAGAAGTGATTACTAGATTTAAAAGGTGTTATAAAGTCAAGAACTTCACTCATTTTCTTTGACATGGTCTCTCGATCAAAGCCTGGGTGAGGAATTGACCATGTGACTGCTTTCACCTTGTCCAATTTAGGAAACTAAACTTTAGTATAAAACAGCAGCCCAAAGAGAGCAAGTCCATTCAAACCAGAATGCTGCCTGAGACTTTGTCTGTCACAGGGGAAATCTTGTGATTCACAAACCAGCTGTGAGTTTCAGTTAAATTCAGTTAACATTGATACAGTTGGACTTCATTGTCGACAGAGTATATAATATTCTGATGTATATTGTGATATTCTATGCAATAATCTACAGTAGGCAGTAAGAGCAATATATCCTGGGACAGTCTGAGTTCTTTCACTTGCAGCAGGACTCAAGTCAGGTTCTGTGTTCAGACTTGCACCAAGATCAGCAGCGCTCTTCCTGTTGGTGATAAGAGCAAGCCTCACCCTTTAAGTTTTTAGTATGGCCAGCTGACACAGACATCCAGAGGCAATTTCTGTCTGGAATGATATCCAATCAAACATTTTGCAATATCTCTGGACATGGAGACACTAAAGCCCTACTTTAGAGCTGAAATTGAAGCTACCTTCTTGAGCATTAAGTGTACGAAATCATATTTCTTTTATGTCTTACTGTTTCCATTCAGCAGACAGAAATATCCAGGAAAAAACACTTAAAACAAGAAATAGATTTTTTTTTGTCTTCAAAGATCAATATTTTAAGTTCTGGACCTTAAAAAGTCTGAAAATGCTTATAGACCTTTCCCTATAGTATGTGTCTTCTAGCTTGAATAAAAAATAAAAATAAAAATTTGAGACAAACGGAACAAATCTAAAAAATTCTACATATTTTATTGTGACAATCTGGAATGGTATTACTAAGTGTGTGGGCAACTGAAACGCCGGCATCTGAGTTCCGTACTAAAAAAAGTATTACAGTGGAAATTTTCCTGTTCTGTTAAAACTATTATAACATAAAATGGAAAATGTGTGTTTTTTCATCTGTTCATTTAGCAGTATTCACAAATAAATGCGCACTTTTCTTCACAAATCTGATGAGCCAAAGCTGAACAGTTTCCTTTTACCCAATTCAATTGGTTTTAGAAAACATATCTTCTGGACACTCGGTGAAACACAAATTTCTTTCCTGAAAATTACATTTAACCCTAACCCTAAAGCAACTCTGGTGAACTTGGCCATATTTATGCTACTCAGACCTGACTACTGTTTCTGAATAGCAGTGCCATCAATTCAGATCACCATATGCCTTGTAATAAAATTAAGTTTCCCCATTTTTATGTTTTTTATAACT